ACAACCCAGGCATGTGCCCTGACTGGGAATTGAACCAGTGACCTTTCAGTTCACAGGCTGACACTCAATCCACTGAGCCACACTAACCAGGGCTTGTGACGTATATTTCTAAGTCTTTAATCAATTAGAGTTTATGCTCGTGTACGGTGTATGTTGGCCATCTAGTTTCTTTTTTTCACTTGCATGTATCTGTCCAATTTTCCCAACACCATTTTTTGACCCTCTTGTATGTTCTTGCCTCCTTTGTCAAGTATTGATTTAATACAAAGGCATGGGTCTATTTTGGGGCTCTTTATTCTGTTCCTTTGATCTGTATGCTGGTTCTTATGTCAGTACAATTGTATTTTGTTTACTCTAGACTTGTTGTATAGTTTGATATCAGGTACGGTGATACCTTCAACTTTGTCCTTCTTTTGCAAGATTGCTCTAGCCATTGGGGGTCCTTTCTGGTTTCACGTAAATTGTTGGAATGCTATTTTCTAGAACTGTGAGATATGCCATTTATATGTTAATAGAAATTGTGTTGAAGCTATAGGTTGCTTTGGGTAGTATGTATGTTTTAATGATGCTAATTCTTGCTATTCATGAATATGGTATATGCCTCCACTTATTGGTATCTTCTTCAGTTTCTTTCTTGCATATCCTATAATTTTCTGGGTGCAGGTCTTTTACCTCCTTGATTAAATTTGTTTCTACATATCCTATTTTTTTGCTGCAATAGTAAATGGGATCATTTTCTTACTTTCTTTTTCTGATAGTTCATTATTGGTGTATAAAAATGCCACCAATTTCTGAATATTTATTTTGTACCCTGCTACATCACTGAATTTATTTATCAGTTCTAGTAGATTGGGGGGGTTATATAGACAGTATCATGTCATCTAAAAACAATGACAGTTTTACTTCCTCCTTTCCAATTTGGATGCTTTATATTGTTTTTGTCTGATCATTGTGGTTAGAACTTCCAAGACTATGTTGAATAAGAGTGGTGAATGTAGGCATCTCTCTTGTTCTTGGTCTTAAGGGGAACGCTTTCAGTTTTTGCCCATTGAGTATGATACTGGCTGTGGATTTGTCATATGTGGCCTTTATTATGTTGAGGTATAATCCCCCTATTCCTACTTTGTTTAAGGTTTTTAATCATAAATACTAATTTTATCAAATGCTTTTTTTGCAACTGTTGACATGGTCATGTGACTTTTAGCCTTCATTTGGTTTATCTGATCTACCATGCTTATTGGTTTGCATATATTGTACCAACCCTGCATCCCCAGAAGAAATCCCACTTGATCAGGGTGTAGGATCTCTTTCACATATTGCTGGATCTGTTTTGCTGATATTTTTGTTGATATTTTAAACATCTATGTACGTCAAGGATATTGACCTATAATTTCCCTTTGTAGTATCTTTACTTGGTTTTGGAATTAGAATAATGCTGGCTTCACAAAAATAGCTTGGAAAAGTATTCCATTCTCTTGAATGTTTGGAATAGTTTGAGAAGAATATGTGTTAGCTCTATGTTGAATGTTTGCTAAACTTTGCCTGTGAAGCCTTCCAGTCCAGGACTTTTGTTTTCTGGGAGTTTTCTGATCATTGCTTTGCTTTCACGTAATTGGTATTTTCTGACTTTATTGTTCTTGATTCTGTTTTGGAAGGTTGTATGTTTCTAAAAATGTATCCATCTTTCCCAGGTTGTCCAATTTGTTGACATACATTTGCTCATTATATTTGTTTACAGTCCTTTGTATTTCTTGGTGTTGCTGGGAGATTTTTGACTCCCAGTTAAATTTTCTTAGTAGCATTCATCTGTTCAGATTTTCTTTTTTCCTGGTTCGGTCTTGGTAAATTGCATGTTTCTAATCTTTATTTCTTTTCTTCTTCTATCTTTCAGATCAGTTTGTTCTCTTTCTCTGGTTATTGGAGGGTTACAATTTGGTTGTTTATTTTAGATCTTTCTTATTTATTAATGTATGTTTCAGCTGCTATGAACATACCTTTTAGAACTCTCTTGCTGCTTCCCATTACTTGGTATAGCACGTTTCCATTTTGTTCATCACATGATTTTTTATTTGCTCTTTGAATTTTTCTTCCATCTACTGGTTGTTTAAGTTCCATGTATTTGTGAGTATTTTAGTTTTTCTTCTGTTGTTGATTTCTAGTTTTATAGCATTGTGGTCAGGGAAGATATTTGGCATGCTTTTAACCCTGTTGGATTTTTCAAGCCTTGTTCTGTGGTCTGACAAGTAGTCTATACTGCAAAATGTCCCATGTGCACTGAGGAGAATGCGTATACTGCTGTTAGAACATTCTGAATTTGGCTCGGGTTCCTGTGGTCTATAATGCTGTTTAAGTAAGCTTTAGCATCACCCCGTGGAATTGTATATGTTGTGGGATTTTTAATTTGTTTTGAGACAATTTTTATTTTCTTTTCGATACATTTGTTCTTCACATATGTGTTGTTTATATACATTTATAAAATTTCCCAGCTTTCTTGATGTCCTTGTTTTCTAGCTTCATACCATCGTGGTCAGAAAAGATAGTTAACATTTCAGTTCCCTTAAGTTTGCTCAGACTTGTTGTGTATCTTATCAAATGATCTCTGCCAGAGAATGCTCTCTGTGCACTTGAAAAGAATATGTACTCTGCCGTTGATGGATGGAATGTTCTATGTGTGTCTGTTAAGTGCATTTGATAAAGACTATGGCTCAATTCCAACATACCAGGGAGGTTGCTGTTGCTGCTGTCAAAAGCCTGAGCACTTGCAGCGTCCCCCTGGGGAGCAGGATTGCCTTGGCAAATTCCTCCCTCTCCTCTGCTGTCTCTTTTGTCTCGATCCCTCTCCAACGCCATGCTCGGATTTCCCTTCAGGCAGGCTGGCCTTACACAAATAATCTCACTCACATATATCTATCCAGTTTTGTCCTTTCCAGGTCTTTTCTTCCCAATAACTGAGATTGGGATTGTGGCAACTTTGTACACTCCCTTGGAGCTGAAGGCCCCACCTAAGTTCCATTAGTTGGTTTTGAATGTGCGGGCATGTTATCAACCTCTTGGATCCCTTGGTGTAATGGGCAGAGCCATGTTTGTTCAGCCATGGGTGTCAAATTTGTTTTACAAATGCAGAAAAAGAGCAATTACTGATACTGCATAATGCTGATGTCACTCACGGCCTTCATTTTTGAAGTGCAGTTTTGCCACACATTTATTCTTGGTTCAGGGTTATTTTTTCTTTTGGCTCTGTAAGATTTCAGCTAAGAAAACCATTCATCCTTGTGGAGTCTCTCTTATATGTTATATGTCACTTTTCCCTTGCTGCTTTGAAGATTCTTCTGTTGTGTTTGATTTTTTAAAAACTTACTTACTTATTTATTTATTTATTAACAGAATGAAAGAGAGGGAGAAAGAGAAGGACAGGAACATCAATGTGAGGTTGCCTCTCACTCGCCCCCTGCTGGGGGCCTGGCCCGCAACCCAGGCATGTGCCCTGGCTGGGAATCAAGCCTGTGACCCTTTGGTTCATGGAATGGCACTTAATCCACTGAGCCACACCAGCCAGGGCTGTGTTTGATTTTCAAATATTTCTTACTATGGGATTCTTTGGGTTTAGCTTATTTGGAGTTTGTTCACCTTTTTTGCATTTGTGTATCCATTTCTTTTTTCAGATTGGGGAGTTTTCAGCCATTATTTCTTCCAATAACATCTATGTCTCCTTTTCTCTCTCTTTTCCTAGGACTCTTATAACGTATGTATTATTCCACTTGATGGCGTCCTATGAATACCTTGCTCTCTTTCCACATGTTTTCATGATTTCTTTTTGCCCCTGAGACCCAATATTTTCCAATAACCTGTCTTCAAGTTTGTTTTATTGACGTATTATTCTGCATGTCTCAGCCTTCTGTGGAACCCTTTCAGTGAATATTGCAGTTCACTTATATTTTTTAGTTCTAGAATTCTCTGGTTGTTTCTTTATTACAATTTATATCTGTGTGTTTATATTGTAATTTTGTTCATATCATTTTTCTGATTTTCATTTGTCCATGATGTCTTAACCCACTACCATTTTTAAGACTGTTGTTTTAAAAGTTTTGTAAAGGAAGACAGGGGGACTAATATCTAGAGAGTCATTCTGTTCCTTTGAATGGCTCTGTTTCCCTGTTTCTTTGTATGCCTTGTTATCTTTTTAAAAATTAGGTACTTAAAATGATATCCACCTCTCCTCATCTTCGTGGCCTGGCTTTGTGCAGAGGAAGTCCTTTACTAATGAAAACCTAAAGACTTAGTGTTCTGTGAAAACCTTTGGAGTTGGGCCTTTTTTGAGCCTGCACATTTTAAAATTCCAATTCCTCTGTACATACAACTACTTCTTAATGTCTTCATTTCCCTAGGTGTCTCATCCTTGTTTCTTCTCAAACCCTTAGTTGTTTTATAGCACAGCTCAGTCTGTAATATCTTATACCCAGACACCCACAGGTCTGCAGTAACCGTGCAACTCTCTCATGCCACAGCTCCAACCACTGCTTTTGACGGTTTCCAACCTGATGGACAAACTATGCCTCTCTTCCGCCCATCTGTGTTCCCTGACAGGCAAGAGATAAACCAGTGCTCCGGGCTGCCCCTGTATTAGCCAGAACTCTGGAAGCAAATTCCACTCTTTTCTTTCCAACCTGAGGTAGAAGTTAGTAGTTGGCTTGGGTGGCTTCCTCCCAATCTTTCTGCGCTGTGCCAGGAAAGGGGTGGGACAAGAATGAGCAAAGGGCACGTGAGGTTTCTTAGCATTTTGAGGGCAGCTCTTCTTTTTGGGGTCATTTGTTTTATGGCTGCAGTTTCTTCACTGGTTTTCAGAGATCTCACCGAGCGACTTTGGTCTGTATGTTGGTATTTCCATGAAGACCTGAGGGCCTGGAGCTTCCTTGTAAGCCATCTTGCTGGCAGCACTCTCCAATGATATCTCCTTTTCTTACACGTGTTTATCTGTGGTTCTATCTTCATTTCCTAAGGTTGTGACTCACCTGGAAAATACGCTAGGAGCCTCCGTTCAACATGTTAAACTGAAACAAATGAAGTATTCTTTTCAGCTGTGGGTCACAATGATGTCAGCAAAAGCATATGATGGGAAGGTATGTTTACTACTCTTCTTCCTTTCTTCTTTCCTTTTGCAAATAGCTATTGGCCCTTTATTGCGTGCCATGTGTTCTAGATATGTAGGAATGGAGCTCATAAGCAAATAGGTGGCATAGTTAAATACTTAGGGACTAGACAGTTTAGTGAGTGCTCTACTGGTATAAGCATATATGGTTGTGTGATCACGGAGGGAGGGCCCGAGTCTAGGGGGAAGCCAGGAAAAGCTTCCTGGTGTAAGATTGCTATTTAGCAATACTTGAATAATTTGGAGGCCTTCGCGAAGTAAAGAAGTTATAGAAGGTGTTCCAAGCAGAGGTGACATTATGAACACGGATAGGAAGGCATGAGGTTGATCCCGGTAAAGCATGTGTTGGACATCAGAGCATTTAGGCTTTGGTAAAGCATGAAGTGGTCAGGTAATTCCAGTTGTCCAGATCCCAGCTCGCCTGCCCCATCAGAGGTGTTTGCGGACACACACACAAGTATCTGCTTCTCTGCAATGTATTTCACCCTCGTGTTATTGGTTAAGTTTGGAAGTTCATGTGGGTACTTGAGAAAGATGCTTTAGTTATGATTTCTTTGGGCTCGTCGAAAGGTTTAAATATGGAGTCTTTGAGAATAGTAAGTTACATTTGACATTGTGAAGAAATAGAAAACTTTTTTCAAGTCTCTTAACTTTTGTACATGTGGTGGCCATTAAGAATGTGTATGTTGCCCTGGCTGGTGTAGCTCAGTGGATTGAGCGTGGGCTGTGAACCAAAAGGTCACTGGTTCGATTCCCAGTCAGGGCACATGCCTGGGTTGCGGGCCAGGTCCCCAGTGGGGGCCATGTGAGAGGCAACCACTGATTGATGTTCCTCTCCCTCTCTTCCTCCTTTCCTCCCCCTCTCTCTAAAAATAAATAAAATAAAATATTTTTTTAAAAGAATGTATATGTTGGCATATGACAGACCCAGATTCAAATTGTTGAATTGTAATCTCTACATCATGCAAATCGCCCATCTAAAGCATACAATTAAATGGTTTTCACAGCACAGAATTTGCAGCCATTGTGGCAATCAATTTTAGAACGTTTTCCTGAGATCACCACAAAAAGAGACCCATACTCATTATCAGTCACGTCCAATACCCTCACTCCTTATCGGTCACATTCACTATCCTCACTGCCCCGATCCACAGTCTTAGCAAAACCTAACCTGCTTTCTGTATCTATTGACTTGCTGATTCTGGACATTTCAAATAAGTGACATTGTACATTGTGGGGTGGTTTGTTATGCTCTTCTTTCACTTAGCTTAATATTTCTTGCCTTTCGTCCATGTCGTGCCTTGTATCAGTACCTTATTTCTTTTTATGGCTGGATAATATTCTATGGAATTGAGACAATTTGTTTATCTGTTCATCAGCTGATTGTTATGTTACTGGCTATTACTTACTGTGCTGCTGTGCACATTCCTATTCCTATTTTTGTCCGAAACATACCTTTTTGAGGGAATACTTGCATTTCTTGTTTTAGCAGTTTGAGATGTTTATGTTCGCATTTACATTGAATCTCTTCCTTTCCCAGTTCCTTTTTAAAGTCTGATTTATTAGTGTGACATTGGTTAATAAAATTTTCTCTTACCTCAGGAACCTCTGAAATTTGCGGATCTGCTGAGTGACCGAGGGAAGCCTGTCAACCCTCTGTGGGAACTGGTTAAATGGTGCCTGGGCCTATCAGCGCACACCATCCCTGCCATCGGTATAGAAATCATCTTTGCTCTGTTTTGATGTCTTTAGGGGAGGGTAGAACATCTTACCAAGAATACAAGAACCACTCACTCACGACACGTTGAGAAAGCTGAAATATTAATAATGAACTAGCGTCCATCGTTTGCTGACATCTCACTATGTGCCAGGCACTGCCCTGTGCATTTTATCTCATTGATTTGCAGTGTATCTATTACAAGGCCCATTTTATAGGTTTAGAAACCTCAACTCATAAAGGTTAGAGGGGTACCAAGTTAAGCAGTGCTCTTCAAATGTGTATCTCAGAAACTGCAATACCTAGGATGCTTTCTCATGCCACGTGTCGTATTTAAATATCGAAAACGGAACATCGGGACAAAATATTTGACTTTAGGGATAGGCCCGTACAGGAATATTTTGGCGAACTAACCTGTTGCAATGTTCATTATTGGTCGTGTAGAGTAAGTTTGGTTGAAGCACCTCTCCAAAGAAGTTACTGCAGCTGTGCACCCTAGTTGCAGAGTCGGACACTGTCATTACTGGGAACAAATGCTCGTTGAGTACCTACGTGCCAAAGAGTAGGTGTTTGGTACTTGTGCATGTGTTCTCCCTTTAAACATTTAAGACAGTCTGATAGTATAGACAAGTACCTCTTTGTAGTGGGAAACTGAGGCAAATAGAGACTGGGTAATGTATTTCAAGCTGGAGTCCAATCTTCACTTTTCTAGATACCACTGGCTTCACCTTCATCCCATTGTTTATGCTGTCAGTGATTCATTTTCCTCATCTATGGAAAGGAATTAATGACAGTATGTATGGACTGTGCGATTGAGTGGGCTACGTGCTGCCTTGCAAGGTTGGGCTAGTCAGATGAATTATGCATCTAAAGCTCGTGAGATAGAACCTAACTGTGCACATACCGGGAACTTCAAGGGGATTTTGGCCAGAAGCTAGACTCTTTGGTTAAAAACATATAAGGCCACAGTAAAAAGAAAGTATAGGGATGTCCACTGCAGCATGTTCTACAAAAAAGTTACCAGTATAGTAAATGTTTCACAACGGAGGAATAGGTAGTGAATGACCATTCATGTATAGAACAAATTGTATGCTGGCACTTAAGGCCAAGTTAACAAAGATGTATTTGTAACGTGTGGATCAATGCACATCAAAATGGTGAGTGGAAAATGTGGAAAGTTTTACATCCAAGGTGAGCAAAGACATAATACTTGCATAGAAAAGTACATGAACTAGGTGTACTAACACGTTTGCAACTATTTCTTCCAGGCACAATATTTTTGGGTGAGTGGTTTATTCCACTGTAATCATTTGAATTTTTTTGTTTTCTATAAGACTTATGTGTTCCTTGCACAATAGGGACAATAAACTTATTTTTAAATGAATCAGTAAACTCTATTAATAAATATTAATATGAAATACTAGATATGATTTATTAAGCATGGATGATGCATACTTGGCTAATGTGCAAAATATGTATACATGTGCCTGTATTCATGATCTTTTCCTAAAACTGTTTAAAATGTGAAGATACATGGGATAGAATCCTCTAAAACTGTAACTCTAGTATGAAGTTTTTCTCAGAATTTCATGCATGAAGGTGTTTATTCCACCGTTTAAATCTTGGAACAGTTCATATGCCCGACAGTCATGGGCTAGTTCAAGAAAAAGCTCCGACACATTTCACAGTCATAAAGCCTTATGAGGTAACTAACGCTCTGTGGGAGAAGCTAGTGACCCCATGGACAGCATCGCCAGAAAAGACTAAGACCCGGTGCTGAATGGTCAACAATATTCATGTACGGGAGGCAAGGTGATAAGGTTTCATTTTCAACACTTTCTTACTTCCTCGGTGTTCTACAGTAAGAAAAGATAAACTAAAGAACACCAGAGTTTATTTATGTTTTTAGAACGCTAGAATCGAAAATGAAATTTCATAGGGTAACTTGTTTCCTGTTCTCATTCTGTAGGGCTGGCCTTGTTGGAAGAAAGGATCAAATACAACAGTGAGAAATACAAAAAGTTTACGGCAGTGAAAGAAAGCCTGCATAAAGAATTGGTGGAGATGCTCGGTGACGATGGTGTCTTCTTATATCCCTCCCATCCCACAGTGGCTCCCAAGCATCACGTTCCTCTGGCAAGGCCTTTCAACTTTGCTTACACAGGTAACTAATTGTACTTCTTTTGGTCTTTCATCTTAAGGAAATAGAGGCTTTTTCCAAGAAAAGTGTCATTTCCTTGTGCTGTTGGACAAGTTTGATACATGCCTGTTCAAAAGTGATGTGTACTTTAAGAAAGTCTAGAAAGCAGTTGCTGTTGTCACATGGGGAAGCTGACTTGCTAATATCTGCATCCTGCCCTAGAATCCTGCAAGTGAGTATGGGGGTCACATTTCAGAGCACCGAGCTTCAGGGAGGTTCGGTGAGGTCTTCAGTAACACAGTACGAGCTAACCGAATCCAAAGGCCGCCTTGGCTATTCTGATCATGCTAAAGCCAAGTCCGCTTTTTTTCCAGGATGTGCGGCTTCCCCCCAAATGCTAGTCCAAAATAGAATTCTCTTTGCCTTAGCTATCATCGTTTCTGAGTTTGATTCAGTCTAGTATTGACCCAGTTAGTTTGTTTCCGTTTCAGCTGGTTTGGGAACTGTGTCTGGGCCATGGTCACGAGAGGTCAAAGGCCCCTGGAAATGTATTCATGCTGGGTCAGTTTCTAGAGTTTCTCCAGGGTCTCTCCCAGGGACCCGCACTGTATTACTCTCCTACTCTATAATCCTGTGCTCCAATGGAGCTTAGAATTTGGAGCTTGGTTTATTTGAGTTCAAATACTTGGCTCTATCATTGTCTATCATTGTTCCCTGGAGCAAGATGTTGAGTGTTTCTGAATCTTGTTCCTCCTCTAGGACTAAAGGGTAATCTCTACCTTGCTCTGTTGCTGTCAAAAGGCATGATCATCAGCCCTGGCTGGTGTAGCTCGGTGCGTGGAGTGCCGGCCTGCGAGCCAAAGGTTCGATTCCCAGTCGGGGCACATGCTTGGGTTGCCGGCCAGGTCCACGGTGGGGACAAGAGGGTCGTGGGAGGCATGTGGTGGGAAACCACACATGGATGTTCCTCTCCCTCTCTTTCTCTCTCCTTTCCCCTCTCTGACAATAAATAAATAAAATCCTTTCAAAGAAACTCATGTTCACAACACAGCAAATTGTTAAATCTGTTTATTGCCTGAGAGTAGGATTGGGAGGGAGGGTAAGGGATTTGGGTTTTTATTTTCTATCATTTGGTATTGTTTGATCATTTTTTCCAAAATATTGGAAGCACATATCACCTTTGAATGTTTTTAACCAAAAAAAATAAAATAATTGTTTTTAACAGTGAAGAAAGGGGTAAAGTAAATAATGCATGCAAGGTACTGGACATTAGGGTTGTGGAGGGGGAGGGGGAGAGGGTATCAGATAATAGTTTTTATCCATCATTTTCTCATCTTTACTGTCATTCTTGGCTCTGGTCAGTTCGTTCCAATGCCTTGAATCTCTGAAACACATTTCTGCCTAAGTTTCTCTCACCTAGATCCTCCAGTTGTGAAGACAGGAATCGTAATTGTCTACAGGAAAGAACCAAAAGAGAACATTACCAGTTAAAGCCTTTTGATTTTGTCTTGTTCTGCTTTTCTTTTTACTTTTATGTAGTACAGCTTTATAAAAATATGTATGTCATTTATTGGCTTGCTCACTAATTTTTAATGATTAACAGCAGTGATGAGTCTAGTCCGATGTTCCCTGAGGTTAACAAGGGCGACTCAGCCTGGATTTCAGACCAAGACCAGCTCACCTTTGGAAACCTGGTTCCTATCTCAAGTCTGACCACTCCCATATTCAGCCCGCAGTGACAGATCCATCTTTTGAGATTCTCTGCCACTTTTGTCTGAATCGCTATTTGGTTGTTCCTGAGACTATTTCCTCTTGTTTTATTAGCAATCTTTTCATGTTTGTGTCTTAACTCTCTGTCTAGACTGCATCCCATGAGGAAAGAGGTCATTTTGCCAGGCCGTTTTATTTGTTATTTGTTTATTGATTTATTTTTTACTTGGAGGTTTCCCTGTGGTATCTATATGGAGATGTCAGGTAGGAATTTGCTGATGTACGTCCGATACGTGGGTCAGGGAATGTAGATGGGAAGGTCCTCTGCTCCCAGGCGATGGCTGAAATGATGGCAGTGGCAGAGATTCCTGGGTGGGTGTCTGCTAGCACAAGAACAGCGAAGGGCAGACTGTGGTCTCCCCCGTGTTCCTCTCTCTGATCTTTGCCCCTCCCCACAGCCTCCCTAGGCAGGAGTCCCCAAACCTCCCACTCTTGACAGTGCTAATGCTCTTGCCTGTTTAATCTCATTGTCCTCCCCCTCCACAAAGACAGCTCAGGAGGCGTGGCACTGCATCCCTAATTTATCCCGGCCTGTTAGACTCCCGCTTGTTTGATGTTACAGATGTGGGAGAACCAACCAACACATGCTGCGGGGCCTCACCGAAGCAGATAACAAGCCCCACTTGCTATCTACTTGCAAACCCGAACACTTGCTCCCGGCCCTTGTGGCAAAATTCCCAGCAAGAAAATCAGGGGGTGTGGGAGGAGTGTGTTTTCTTGGTGAGACAAGGCGACTGGCAGCCTCCTATCTAATAGCAGTGACTTGTATCCATGCAGAAATGTGTTCAACTAAGGCATTCAAGCTCAGGAGGAACCCCTCCTTGATAATACACAGCACAGTTCCACACAGTGTTTTGTTTCTATAATTTACGTTATCTGTGCCTGGGGGTTGTTTGAAGCACAGCAAAGCTTCCAAGAATAAATAAAAGAAGTTGACTCCTGTTCTGGGGTCAAGGACACTGTAAGGTCAATCCTCACAGGAGAAATCACAGCCCCACTTCCCAATTTTTATTCCAGAACTCTTCCCGTGTCCTAACTAGTGTTAAGTAAAAAAAAACAAACAAAAAAAAAACCCAAAAACCCAAAATGTACCCTGCCTTCTAACCCTTTTGTCAGTCTCAGCTCATGGACCAACCAATACTGGACCATTCAGGGGTTATTCTGTAAGCTGAAAGCAAGTGAATGGTGATTTTGTACAAAATTAGCCTCAAACTATTCTGTCTAAAACTTCTCTGCATTTTCATAGCCTGTCCATTGTATACTGAATGCCAAGATTATACATTAGAAGTCATCTCTTCATATATTGTTTCAGCTCCTTTCTATGATTTGCTTATGGAGTGTCCCTTCACTTCTGCTTGGACACCCCAGGAATGTGAAATTAACTGCCCCCTAGGCCACTGCATTCAATGTTTGTGGAGAACAACAAACGTACAGCTTTTTGGAGGGATTTTCCTCTGATTGAAGTGAGCCACCACTGGGAACTTTTTCCTGTAGTTCAGTCTTGTGAGCCAGGTAATATGGATACGAGATCCGTGATAGATAAGAGCAGTATTGATTCAGTGTCTACTATGAGCCAGGCACTAGGGGCTAGCAATGCGATACATCTTCTCATTTAAGGCTCCCAGAAACCCTCCACAGCAGGTACAGGTAGGCCTGTGAGAGAGATGAAGAGATGGTGGCTTCAGGGTCAGAGTCAGGACTGGAATCCAACTGTGAATCGTCTGACTTCAAAGCCAGTGCGGTTTCCACTCTGTGCATGGGTTGATGATATTTAGTATTGTTCTGCTTTTATTTCTGCCACTGAAGCTGACAACTTACCAGTTTGGGAGGCCTTCCGTCGCTGACATAGAATTGTCCGATGCCAAACAGCTTGAGTGTTTCGTCCTGTTTTTAGTTTTCCTGTGACGCAATACTTGTGTTAGTTTCTAGTCGAGCGAGTAGAAGACTTTTATACTTGCCTGATAGTTACAGGACAGGGTAAGTTCGGTCAGATATTTAATTTCTGCACCGTGATTTTTTTTATGGCGAGGATGAAGATGCCCCGTGTATCTTTCAGTACCGTTGGAAGAAGGACGAAATGTGGGAATGTATATAAAGGACCTTACAGGTTTTAATAATAATGGCGATATTGCAATTTATTGAACACATGCATATGTATCGGTTGACCTTAGGCAACATTAATGTCTCTGTTTTACTTTATAACAATTGCTATGTATTTTCCCCTTGATTGATCTGTTCCATGCATTGTTCTAATAGCTTCATAGGCCTCATCTAATATCATGCTCACAGCAGTTCTGAAAGCAAGAAACTATCCTCATCCTCATTTCACAGATGAAAGAATTCCAACACAAAGAACTTCAAGCACACCTCCATAGGCACATAGCTAAGGTGGGCTTGGAAATGGAAGCCAGGCCCCCCGATCTCAGAGTCTGCATGTTAGTTCACTATACAGAAGAGGAAAAAGAGCCTTGCTCGGGCTCCTCAGCTCTGCAGGAAAGAGGGTGATGGTTCAAACACAGGTCTGCTTGACTGCAACTGCCCTCCTCCCCTGTTCTCCTGCCCCACTTGGGGTTCTGGAAATGGTAGCACCTTTTACTACTATGTTTCAATGACACTCTAGAACGACCAGGTCTCTCTTAAACGTTCACCGAGACCAGACTGTGTGCAGCAGGGTTAGAGAGAGGATTCCGATACATTGGACACAGGCCTAGGAGGAGATACGAACAAGACTAGAGGGCTTCAAAAGAAGGCACTGAATACAACAGCAAAGGAAGAATTTCAGGAGAAAATGACTGGGGACCTGGGTCCTGAGAGAGGATTAGTCATTACCCAGGTAGGGGGTTAAGGAAAGGAGGACAAGAATCCAGGCAGTAGAGACCCCATGAGAAATGGTACAGAAAAGGTACACCGGGAACCTTGAGAATGGGAACGGGAAGCATTATTATACTGTCGGCAGCATGTGAATTGTGAATGAGGGTGGAGGATGAACTTGAGTTTGGAGACGTAAGCCCATCATGGAGAACCTGGAGAGTGAAGCCACAAACTGCACCAAACATGTATCATGCTACCTGTCCTGGAACCATACCCATATTCCTCCTTCTTTCTATGGTGCCGTTGGAATAGCAGTCATAAATGATAGTGTAGTCTGCAGAATCTTAGAGTGTTTTGTTACTCTTACTGTATTGTCTGGTGACAACAAGGATTGATGATGTTACCGTGTAAGTCTTATCTCAATGGATTCATTTACACGTCTCCCACATAAGCTTCACCACACTTATTGCAACACCTACGTGCCGTATTAAGCGGGAGAGGCGATGACCAGGAGAGAGGGGAGGAAACAGCTTACAGAAGTGGCCTTCTACCGGCTTTCCCCATGCACCCCAGTGTACTTTAGGTGTCTGTCCTCATGGACTTCTGGGGCCATTGACATCTCGAGATGAGCAGCATTGGGCAGTCAGCATTTTACACACCTCATGTGGGGAAACCACTGGGTTTGCTTTGCGATTCTTCCCAGCGATTCTCTGACCTCCACAGCACCTGGCATCCGAGTAAACCTAAAGATGTCATGTATCAGTTTTGGCAAAAGCACAGTGCACCCCACCATCCTCAAGGGTCCCTCGTGTACTCACAGCCGCCCTAATAATCGACCATGACATTCTTCGATCTCAGAACAAATGTGGTCTCAGAACGTTTCCCTGCAGCGAGCTTGGTAATTTCGCTCATTGGTGAGCTAAGCACAGAGATGAAGCTTTCGTGCACTCCGAACATAGAATCTACGTAACCCTGCCATATGACAAGCTCTGTGAAGGCTGCAGTTCGTGCAACCTTCCTGTCCACCTGTGCAAAACCTACTGACTAGCACATTGCAGTTCTGAACACACAAACAAATACAAACTTAGTAACAATGGGCTTTCCAAACTGATGGTGTGAAAAGCTGGGCAAAACCTCTCTTCAAAAACTGCAGCAATAAAACTGGACAAAATCACCAAATAAAGTGTTCCAAGCTTGACATTTGATCAAAGGGCATAATGCAAGTTGAGAAACATACATTGAGAAAAATCTACCAATTCTTCATGGGAACAGTTGGTCCCTGTAGCATTTAAGCTGGGGGCTGTTCCCATCCTCTCCTCTTAGGCTCCAGCTCCAAGGTGCCAAGATTCCACTGTGGGCAGGTAGGACAGAACCTAAAGACAGACCACTCCCATCCATCCAAGCCCCGTCTGGCAAAAGTTCTAATGTGAGCAGACAGAAAAGACCATGAGATCCAGCATCTTCATTTCCTTTTTATTAAATTGACTGGGGTGACTAAGAAAATTTTACAGGCTTTAGGTGCACAATTCTACAAAATCTTCAGGGTAGACGCTGTTGTGTGTTCACCGCCCTAAGCCAAGTCTCTATTCATCACCATTTATCCCCCCATGTCCCCCACAACCCCCCTCCACCCCCTTTCTCCAGCAATCACCACACTGGTGTCCATGTCCATGAGTTCTTTCTCTTTTCTATTTTCAGTTCAGTATCCCCACCCAGCACCCCCAAAAGCTGTCAGCCTGCTCTCTCTCTATGAGTCTGTCTCTGTTGTGCTTGTTAGCACATTTTCCTCGTTAGACTCCAGGTATGAGTGAGGTCAGATGATGCTTGTTTTTCTCTGACTGGCCTATTTCACTTAGCACAGTGCTCTCCAGGTCCAACCGTGCCGTCGTTGCCGAGGGTAACATCTGCCTCTTTTTGACATGTAATGGTAGTATTCTATTGTGTAAATAAATATAACACAACTTTTTTATCCACTCATCTACTGATGGGCACTTGGGTGGCTTCCAAACCTCGGATATTCTGAATCGGACTGCTATGAACCAAGGGGTGCATCTCTTCTTTTCAATTAGTATTTTGGGTTTCTTCAGATAAATTCCCAGAAGTGCAATCACTGTGTGAAAAGGCACTTCCATTTTTAATTTCTTGAGGACATTCCACACTGCTTTCCACAGTGGCTGCACCAGTCTGCATTCCCACCAACCGTGCACTAGGGTTCCCCTTCCTCCATATCCTCACCAGCACTTGTTGTTTGTTGAATTATCGATGATCCTTATGCTCACAGGCATGAGGTTTCATGTCATTTAATTTGCAGTTCTTTGATGATTAGTGTCCTTGAGCATCTTTTCATATGCCTATTGGCATCTGTACATCCTCCTTGGAGAAGTGTGTGTTCCTGTACTTTGTCCATTTTTTTAAAGATTTTATTCCTCTTTAGAGGGGAAGGGAAGGAGAGAGGGAGAGAAATATCAATGTATGGTTGCCTCTTGTGTGTTCCCTGCTGGGAGCTGGCCTGCAACCCAGGCATGTGCCCTGACTGGGAATCGAACTGCGATCCCTTAGTTTACAGGCTTGGGCTCAATCCAGTGAGCTACACCAGCCAGGGCTCTTTGTCCATTTTTAATTGCATTGTTGTTGGTGCGGTGTTTTTTTTGTTTGTTTTTTTTTTTTTGGTGTTGAGTTGTATATGTTCTCTAACCACTTATCAGATATACCACTTGCCAATATGTCCTTCCATTCAGTACATTCAGTGGGTTTGTCTTTTCATTGTGTTGATGGTTTCCCTTGCTGTGCAAAAACTTTTCAGGTTGATGCAGTCCCATTTGTTTTTCCTTTGTTTCCCTCGCTGTAGATGTCTCGGCAAAAATACTGCTACCAGAAATGTCCGAGTTTTTACTGCCTGTATTTTCTTCTAGTAATTTTATGGGATCAAGTGTCACATTTAAGTCTCTGCCCTTTTTTTGAGTTTATTCTCGTGAATGATGTAAGAAGGTGGTCTACTTTCATTTTTCGCACATATCTGTTCTGTTTTCCCGACACCATTTGCTGAATGAACTACGTTTACCCCATTGTATCTTCCTGCTTCATTTGTCAGATACTAATTCACTACAAAGCCATGGCTTTATTTCTGGGCTTTCTATCTGTTCTGTTGATCTATGTGTCTGCTTTTATGTCACCACCATGTTGTTTTGATTGCTAGGATCTTTGTTTGTCTATTTATTCATTAATTGATCTTGTGAGGCCAGTAACTCTTAGACTAGTACCCATAAAGACATCACAAGAAAACTATAAATCAATATCCATCATTGAAACAGATGTAAAAATTCTACAAAAATATCAGTACATCAAATTCAGCAGGAAAGTGAACATTATGCACTATCAACAAGCAGGATTTATTTTAGGAATTGGAAAAATACATTAAAATCACAATAGATACCCCCAAAAATGCTTTGGAGAAAATTTAGAACCCATTCAAGGTAAACAAAAACAAAAACAAAAACTTTCAACAGCCCTGGCTGGTGTGGCTCAGTGGATTGAGCACCAAGCAGCCTGAGAACCAAAGGGTTGCTGGTTTGATTCCCAGTCAGAGCGTATGCCCGGGATGCAGGCCAGGTCCCCAGTAGGGGGAGGTGTGAGAGGCAAGGACACACTGATGTTTCTCTCCCTGTCTTCCTCCCTTCCCCTCTCTTTAAAGAGAAATAAATGAAATCTTCAAAAAAAGTTTAACAAATTAAGAATAGATGAGATCTTCCACAAGATAAGCAATATAGAAAACACCCACAGCTAGCTTCATACTTATTCGTGAAAGACAGATTTGGTCCCTAAGATCTGGAACAAGACAAGGATTTCCACTTTTACCACATGTGTTCAAACACTGTGAGCGCATGTAACCAAGGCAGAAGAAATAAAAGGCATCCGGATTTTAAAACAGGAAGTAATATTATCTTTATTCACTAAATACTGAATTAGTATGAAAAGTCTTCAGGAATTTTCAAAAACCTGAACCCAGTAAATAATTCAGCAAGATCATAGAGTACAAGGCCTTTTTAAACGAGGAAAAAAGTTGGGATACATACACTTCTCAGTTAACAAAGCTACAGTAATCAATAAAGTGTGGTACTGGTATAAGGATGTATGAATATATTTATGTAATGTATAAATATGAATATATATATATATATATATATATATATATAATCCGTGGAAGAGACTTCAGAGTACAAATATAAGTCCCTATATTTATATTTATGTTCAACTGAGTTTTACAAAGCTTCAAACACAATTTGATGGGGAAAAAACAGGCTCTCTGCCATGGATAGGGCTGTGGTAACTGCATGCAGAAGAATGAAATCATACTCCTCTCACACATGAACCATAAATATACTGTATGAATACGACAAAGAATTAAAATGTGCAAATCTAGGCTACCACGCAGTAGTATTGCAAATGCTTGCAGTACAAAGAAAATTCATTATACAAGAAGATATTGCCCCCACTTAGCATTTACTCTAATTTTCTTCAGAAAGTATTACACAGGGCAAATTAGGAGTCGCCCATCAGACAACAGCGCTAGCTCCCCACATTTTCTGCATTCAGATCCTAATTTGAACTCGACTCGCCCAGTAGCCGTAGGTATGTTGTCTAACTTGTCTGTTCTTCAGTTACTTTCTCTGTACAAGAGGAATACTTAGCAGCTTCTGTGTCGTGGGTTTTGTTGTGATAATTCAAATTTTTCATCCACAGCAAGCCCCTTGAGGAGTCTCTGGCAGACAGGAAACTCTACAGGTGTGCGAGTATTTTCATCACCATTGTATAACTGAGGGGAGAAAACAAGTGTTGAAGAACATGTCTTGACTTCTCACATTATTCTCGTTTGTTTCATTCAGGTGTCTTCAATGCCCTGGGTTTGCCCGTGACCCAGTGCCCACTGGGTCTGAATGCCAAAGGACTTCCTCTAGGTATCCAGGTCGTGGCTGGACCCTTTAATGACCACCTGACCCTGGCTGTGGCCCAGTACTTGGAGAAAAGTTTCGGGGGCTGGGTCTGTCCTGGAAAGTTGTAGTATGGCCTTCCCACAGTTTGTGAGTGTGTGTGTGTTCCTGTAAGCTGGGTGACGTCCAGCACCAGCAAGCAAGTAAAGAAAACACAACTGTAAAATGATCATTTGTTCAGTTATTCTTTCCACTCTGCTTTCCTTCACTGACCGTTGGCTTTAATAAAATGCTAATATTTATTCCTGCCCTCAGTTTACTTACCCTCAGGAGGAGATAAGCATGTAAAGGAATGAGTGCGGTAAAGTTTTCTGTATGCTGTGATGGTGTCTTTTCTAGGTACAATCGGGAGATCACAGAAGGAAATACTCAATTTGAATTAGAGAATCGCAACCAACTTCAGTCATAGAGCAGAGGATGCTGAAAGTGAGATTGGAAACACGGTTATGTGTTTGCCAGGTAGGTCGTGAGGTAAGGGAATTCCACTTAGGAGCATTAGTGACAAAGACGAGGCATGGCAGCTACACAATGGATTCATGTCTGTGTAACTTAGTATGGACATGGAGGAGCTGCCGGGGAGTATAGAAGCAGGTGAGATGCAACAAGAAGCCCTCTTCCAACATTATCAGAAAAAGTCCATGTCATATAGGTCTGTCCATTAAGAGGATCTAGAATCGAGTGCCATCTTGGCACAAATAACCATACATAGCACCCAGATCGGCATTTCCAAGTACCTCTTCCCAATAAAAAGAACCAGAACTTCTCAGAGAAAAGCCGATTCCAGGACTAAGAGAGGGAAACTGTAAGATGAGCCTGGAAGAGACTGCTGTGCTAGAGAGTTGTGAAGTACAGGGAGCTGAAGGAGAATAGGTCACAATGGCATGGAAACAGTCTAAAGAGGCTCTCACTGGCCAAACGTGGGGCAGTTTGAATGTCAACATGAACAGCAGCAATGGGTTGTAGCTCAGACAGGGGTGGAGGTGCAGAAAAGTAGATACAGATCTAGATATGGAGGTAAAAGTAGATATGTGTACTGTATAGTTTGATAGTTGCAAAATGACTTTCTGATGCTCGTTACATGCAACAATAAACAACATATCCAATGATAATAGAGGTACATATAAAGATATATATGTTTATATTTTATAAATGCATAAAGTTGTACATGTTTATATATATGTCATAAATATAGCATTATAAATATAAATTAGTATAAATAAAATGAATGCACATAATACATAAAATTATTTCATGTTTCTATGTAATATAACAATAAAATAGCGTCAGGGTTAGAGATACATGACAGGGGATAAAGGGGGAAAAGTTGGGAAAACTGTGGTAGCCTAATCAATAAAATTTACTTAGAAACACATAACAATAGACGCAGGCGCAGGTGAGCATGCCTCACCTCTGCCCACAGCTAAAGCAAAAAATAAACCTGCACCACAACACAAGTATCACCCAGAATTGTCAGAAAATCAAGCAGTATGGAAGTTCGACAGCCAAGGAGTTAAAGACGCCTCATTCATCCAGAAGCGTAGGAGGGGCAGAGTGGTACAGAGAGGTGCAGAGATGGGAATGGGGGTCCCACATGCATAAGGGTGGATAAAAATGGGAAGGACACTTCTGGAGTGGGGGGTCCCAGCACCAGGAAGATAAGTCCCTGTAACTTCTGGCTGTAAAAACCAGTGGGGGGTTGGGGCAGTGGAAGAACCTATGTCCTCTTAGAGGGCCTGCAGCAGACTTAAGATTCCCACAGACACACCCCCTCTGGGATACTGCACCAGGGCAACAGCAGGAAGGGCACCAGTGGCGTCTGGGGAGAAAGTGAAGTGTGAGTGGGGAGACAGCTTCTTCCCGAGGTAAACTCCAGAGGCCAGGCAGCAGTATTGTCCCTTCTGTGAGCCCTCCCTCACACAGAGACAGAGAGGTGACACAGATTGCCCCACCCCGGCAATGTCCTAAGGTTCTGCCGCATACAGCTTGACAGGTGCGCTAGGGCAGGGAGTCAAAGCAGCTCCACCTCATACACAGACACAAACACAGGGAGGCTGCCAAACTGTGGAGACAAAGAAACATGGCCCAAATGAAAGAACAGAACAAAATGGCAAAAAACGAGCTACATGAAATGGAGATGAGCAACCTATCATATGCACGGTTCAAAACCACAGTTATCAGGGTGCTGCAGGAACTCATTGGGTACTTCAGGGCCATGAAAAGACCCAAGCAGAAATGAAGGTGGCATTCAGTGAAATACAGAAAAATCTACAGGAACCAACAGTGGAGAGGTTAAAGCCAAGAATCAAAGCAGGAATTTGGAACACAAAGGAGGAAAAAAGCATTCAATCAGAACAGCAACAAAAAAAACAGAATTCCAAAACAAAACAAAACAAAACAAAAAACAAAACAAAACAAAAACAAGGAAAGCCTCAGAAACCTCTGGGACATCTTTAAACACACCAACGTCCAAATCGTAGGAGTGCCAGAAGGAGAAGAGGGAGAGCAAGAAGGGGAAAACCTATCTGAGCCCTGTCTGGTGTGGCTCAGTGGATTGAGTGCTGTCCTGCAAACCCGAGGGTAACCAGTTCAATTCCCAGTCTGGGTGCATGCCTGGCTGTGGGCTAGGACCCCAGTGGCGGGGGGTGGGGGGCACAAGAAGCAACCACACATTGGTGTTTCTCTCCTCTTTCTCCCCTCCCTTCCTCTCCCTAAAACTAAATTAATACAATCTTAAAAAAACAACTTGTTTGAGAAAATAATGAAAGAAACTGCTCTAATTTTGCTGAATGCAATTGACATGCACATCCAGGAAGCACAGAGCATCCCAAACAAGGTGGACCCAAAGAGAACCACACCAAGACACATCATAATTAAAAATGCCAAAGGTTAAAGAAAGAATCTGAAAAGCAGCAAGAGAAAAAGCAGACAATTACCTACAAAGGAGTTCCCATAAGACTGCCAGGTGCTTTCTCAAAAGAAACTTTGCAGGTTAGAAAAGCCTGGCAAGAGGTATTCAAAGTGTTGAAAAGCAAGGACCTACATCCAAGCTGACTCTAGCCAGCAAAGCTATCATTTAGAATGGAAGGGCAGGTAAAGTGCTTTCCAGACAAGGTCAAGTTCAAGGAGTTCATCATCACCAAGTCCTTACTAGATGAAATGTTATAGGGACTTATCTAAGAAAAAGAAGATCAACAGGATGAACATTAAAATGGCGACAAATTCACAAGTATCTGTAACTGAATCTAAAGAACACACTAAGCAAACAAGCAGAACAGGGACAGAATCATAGATATGGAGATCATTTGGAGGGTTATCAGCTGGGATGGGGAAGGAGAAAAATGGCGTGAAAGGCGCAGGGATTCAGAAGTCCAAATTCATATGAAATAGACAGGTGTCTGTGTGTGTGCATGCGTGTGTGTGTGTGTGTGTGTGTGTGTGTAAAGAGCCAGATAAAAACAGAGTAGTCAAAGAACTTACATGCCTGACCCATGGACATGAAGTAAGAGGGGGGTGTCTGGAGGGAATGGGGGGTACCAGATGGAGGGGAGAAAAGGGGCAAAAATTGGGATAACTGTATTAGCATAATCCACCAAATATATCTTAGAAAAGAAAAACAAGGAAACACTACATGACAATAGATGTCGAAAGTCATCATCTTACAACTATCAAAAAATATGTAATTCAGCCCTGGCTGGTGTAGCTCAATGGATTGAGCATGGGCCTGTGAAGCAAAGGATCACAGTTTTATTCCCAGTCAGGGCACATGCCTGGGTTGCAGGCCAATTCCCAGTGGGGGACACATGAGAGGCAACCACACATTGATGTTTCTCTCCCTCTCTTTCTCCTTCCCTTCCCCTCTCTCTGAAAATAAATAAATAAAATATATAAAAAAATATTTATTTCAGACATGACTCATCATGGATGCGGAAACCACTGGATAAAACTCAGGGAACACTTCTTGGGAGGCTGTTTCAGTCTCAAAATATTGCTGTATAATCTTACTAAGTACAAGAGTGGGAAGGTGGAAAACATATTGGTGGAAACAATGTGTTTCCGCCCATTTCAGGTGTGAACACATGGGCGACATGTCCTTAATCAAATGATCAAAATTCACATGCACAATCATAGGACAAATTAATATCCCATGTCTTTTCGTGAAACGCACCGAGGGAGACATATCGTTAGTTTCCTGGTGTGTCCTTCCAAACATGTGCCACTTAGAGGTAGGCTACGTATGTGTGGGAACAGGGGTATATGGGAAATCTCTGCACTTTCGCTTCCATTTTGCTGTGAACCTACAACAACGGCTCTAAAGCAAAGTCAAGTCTTAATCAAGTGAAAATGCAGGGCTGAAGATTATTAAGAATTTTGAACCCTGGCTGGTGTGGCTCAGTGGATTGAGGGCCGGCCTGTCAACCAAAGGGTCACCAGCTCAATTCCCAGTCAGGGCACATGGGTGTGGGTTTCGCCCTGAGGCTGCAGGAGATGTGTGAGAGGCAACCACACAGTGGTGCTTCTCTCCTTCTCTCTCTCCCTCCCTTCCCCTCTGCCTAAAAATAAATAAATGAAAACTTTATTTTTTAAGTAGCTTTACCTTCAGTTTTCTTAATTTGAATGAGTGATAACATTTACTAAGCATTTTTTTCTTTTTTTATAATGTATTTTATTGATTATGCCATTAGAGTTGTCCCCTTCCTCCCCTTCATTCCCCTCCACCCTCCACACCCCCTCCCACCCACATTCCCCCCTTTAGTTCATGTCCATGGGTCCTAAGTTCTTTAGCTTCTACATTTCCCACACTCCTATTGCCCTCCCCTGTCTATTTTTAATGTACTTGTGTGGCAGTCAATTTTTGAATTGAAAAGCTAAGAAAAAAATTTCAGTCTTATTAAGACAGAATTGACAATAACATTGTATTAGTTTAAGGTATATAACATAATGATTTGATACAGGTATATGAGCATAAGCACTACAAGTTCAGTTAACAGCCATCACCTTCTATACTTACAGTTGTTTTTCTGGTGACGAGAACTTGTAAGATCTACGTTCTTAGCAACTTTCCAATATACGAGACAATAAAACTCTTAAAAGTAATTTAGGGATGGCACCAGCAGTGCATTAAAACAAGCCAGGGCTCTTCAGTGCATAGTTGCACGCCCATGAAGCCAGCCCCCCGTTGCTCACTGGATTCCTGAAAGTCACAGGGAGGAAAATAGAGAAGCTGAGTCATGTCCTCAGCAGAGCTCCAGGGGGCTGCCTACTCACTTCCGCCACCAGATCACAGCCACCGACTGCCCTGGCTGTTGTGCTGTTCCCCAAATTTGCCTACAATTCTGTGAACGCTCACTCCTTTCCAAGATGCTCCCTTCTGGTTTTGCAAAACAACCAAACAAGACAGACAGAAAGAGAGGGAGGGAGGGAGGGAGGGAAGGGGGGAGGGAGGGAGGGAGGGAGGGAAGGAGGAAAAGAATCAGACAAATCCCAGTTTATGGACACATTGCAAAATAAAGGGCCCATATTC